CAAAGCCTGGCGCTGTTGCCGCCTTGCTCTTTCATTCCCCTGGTACTTCTTCTTCATGGAATCCCAAATATTCTTGGAAGTAGACTTGTTAAGAATTGTCTCCAAGATATTCCGATCTATGGCTTGGAACAAATAGTTCTTAGCCTTGAGATCCTTCAATTTTTCCTTCTCAATTTCTGCCCTCTGTGCTTCATTTGCACCTGCCGCTGGTTTTGGAACTCCAACTTCAACAATGGTCCAATACTCTTTGGACCGGAGAAAATTCTCCATCAACATACTCCAATGGTCGTAGTGATGACCATCAAAACAAGGGATTGAGGGCTGGACATAATTTTTGGAAGCCATGGAATTTTTCAGGAATAGGCTCTGATACCAAATGTTAAAAATTAAGGATTCCCGAAAAGAAGAAGATGGAATGAAAAACTAAATCTCTCATTAAATTAAAAATAATCCAGCCTTTAAATAGGCTTTACAAGATAATATTATCTAAAAAGATAACTAGCCAATCTTATTTAATCTAATTTAAATGATAACAACCTAAAACAAATAAATAACTTAAACTTCCTAAAATAGAGATAATGGCTAAATAATAAGATCTAATTTTCAACAGTAAACGCCATCAGGGACCCAGCCTCAGTGGTACTGCTCCAAAGTAGCTAATCTTGGAATAGGTATGGCAACAAGAGGGTTCATTTTCTTCATAACAAATCCAAATTTCTCAGACACATCAAGCTCCACCTCAATCGGTATTTCCCATTCAAAAGAGTGCAGCAGAGTAGCCAATACATACTTCATCATTCTCTCAGCTAGAGGAAGTCCTGCACAGATTCTCCTCCCAGACCCAAAAGGAAGAAAATTAAAAAAGTTTCCATGGTAATCACCTTTTTCTGGCTCTTTCAAGAACCTTTCCGGTTCAAATTCCGAAGGGTTTTCCCAAACGTCGGCGTCCCTCTGAATTTTCCATAAATTAATCAAGATTCTGGAGCCTTGAGGGATTGTGTATCCGGCTACGGAACAATCCTTACTAGGGTTGCGGGGCACCAAGAAGGGAACTGTTGGATGTAGTCGAAGTGTCTCTTTTATGACTGCATCCAAATATAGCAGTTTTGGCAAATGGGATTCCTCCACAATGTTCTGGTTTCCGATCACTTCCTCAATTTCTTCCCTTGCTCTTCTCATTTTTGCTGGATGTCGTAGCATTTCTGTCATTGTCCACTCCACCGTGGTTGATGTAGTATCCGTAGCACCAAGTAAAATATTCTACATGTTGTAAAACAAAATAAACTCAAATCAAACATATAAATTAAAATAGCAAAAAGAGCTTGGTTATTAATTTAAAAACGTTGACTTGGATCAAAATTATTGATTAAAACCTTTGTATTAATGCAAAAGAGTAAGTCTCTATTGTAGTAAAAAGAAAGAAAGAAAGAAAGAAAGAAAGACCTATACAAAAGGAAAACCCAACATCGAAAGAGATGAAACAGTTTTCGTTAGATTTACCGTAAACAATGCTTTAATTTCATCCATCGATAAACATGGGGTACTTCCATTGTCTCCTTGATGCTTCAGTTCTAACAAGAACTGCAACAAATCCTTCTTTTTAGCCTTACCGTTATCCTTCATTCGGCCTGCTATGACTGATTCAAACATCTGATCGAACCAAAGAAAAATCTCCTTCATTTTTGACTCGATTCCTTGAAGATCAAATGGAGCAAAGACTGGGAAAAGATCAGAGATATTGGGTGTTGAGATCAATTCAACGACCTCCTTTACTAACCGTCTAAATTCGGGCCCCATGCTGTTCCTTTCCACCCCAAGCAACGGAGCACCCCATACCATGCTCATCGTTACGTTCAGCACCATGATAAACATTTGCTCGCTGATATCAATGGGGGAACCGGCCTTACTATGCACATCCTTCACCATTTCTCGTACTCCCTGTTGGCGAAGTGCATAGCAGGCATCAAGGCTCGCATTGCTCATCAGTTGATGAGCAAAAATCTTTCGCATCTTCCTCCATTGCGGGCCATTAGGGCTGAAAGCAATATCAATCCCACCATACGATAGAATCTTCGCAGTTGCTAAAACCTCATGGTTAGCAAAGATTGCATCGTTGTCTTTTAGGATTATTTTGGCGAGCGAAGCGGAGCTTATGACAATACAAATCTTTCTGCCCAGTTGGAGCCTCATGATGGGACCATAGGTGTTAGACAATTTAGTAAGGTAGTGATTTAAATCAGGTTGAAGAAAGGGAAGGTTTCCTAATAGAGGCAGGCCTGGCGGACCTGGTGGCAACGGCAGCTTTC